CCCAGGGGTTCACAGGGCCGGGGGTGACTCGGGGTGATTAACCACCCTAATGGCCCCCCATCACTCCCCTCCCCAGCTGGACGCGGAGAGCGAGGTGAACAACGAGATGGCCAACAGGATGTCCCTCTTCTACGCCGAGGCCACCCCCATGCTCAAAACACTCAGCAATGCCACCACCAAGTTCGTTTCAGAGGTGAGGGAGGCTGGGGGGACCCTAGGGAGGGAGAAAAGACCCCCTACAGCCCCAGCACCGTGTGGGTGACTGGGGGTGGAAACAGCAGTCAGGACACGTTGGGTTTCAGAACAAGACCCTCCCGATCGAGGACACGACTGACTGCCTGAGCACCATGGCCTGTGTCTGCAGGGTGATGCTGGAGACCCCGTGAGTACCCCATATGGGTTGGGGGGGGACATCTCAGTGCCAGGATCCCTCTGCCAGCCCCTCAGGCTCAGCTGGCCCCTCTCCTGGCACAGGGAGTACCGGAGCCGCTTCACCAACACCGAGACCCTCCTGTTCTGCATGCGGGTGATGGTCGGCGTCATCATCCTCTATGACCACGTCCACCCCGTGGGGGCCTTCGCCAAGACCTCCAAGATCGATGTGAGTGGCCATGGGGTGCACTGGGGGTGGGTCACACCCATGCTTGCTCATCCCAAGGTATGATGCTCGGGGGTGCCTCTCCCTGGATGACCCAAATGGGGATGTCACTGAGCTGGTTCCGAGGGGAACTCATCCCCCCTGAGCAGCGAGGAGGAGGATGGAGAGGAAGGAGGACAGCCCCTCTGTGGCTGTCAGGGATCTCACAGCCCCTCTCACTCCCCCCACCAGATGAAAGGCTGCATCAAAGTCTTGAAAGACCAACCCTCAACCAGCACCGAGGGGCTGCTGAATGCTCTGAGGTGAGCCAGGGGCCATGGAGGTGGATGTGGGGGGACAGCAGGGCGGGTCAGGAGGGCCACAGGGTGACCGTCCCCTCTCTGTCCAGGTACACCACTCGGCACCTCAACGATGACACCACGTCCAAACAGATCCGGGCCCTGCTGCAGTGAGCGCGGGGCGGCCGCCGCAGCCGCAACGTCACCGAGTCACCGACGCCCATGACCATACTGCTCATCTTGTACAGAGGGAAAAGGGACAATGAGGAACACACAGGAATACTAACAGAACATCAAAACGGTCCGAGGCCACCCCCCAAGGCGCTCCTGCCCCGCTTCCCACCCCCCCCCCCAAATCAGCACCCGCTCCTGGACACGTGGTGCGGGTGGCACTGCGGGGACACCGCGCTGGGGGTGCCGGGGCCGGGCAGGATGGACCCGGGCAGGGATGTGCCAACGGGGCCGGTGGCAGCGAGTGCCTATGGCATGGGGACACCTTGGGGAGGGGGCAGGTGTCGCCCCTGTCCCCATCCTGGTCCCCAAATATTTGGCGGGGAAGAGGAGGAGGAGGAAGAGGAGAAGGAGGAGGAATAAACATCCCTGCGGATCTGCACTGACTTTAGAGGGAACGGCTCAGTCTCACCTGGTAGATTTTTAATATGAGCAATTAAATCCACACTCACCTCTTCTTTTCTACATTTTTTTTTGTTTTTGGGGTGTGAAATAAAATGACATTTAATCTGTTCGAGGCCAGAGTGGGGCTGTCTCTGCCGTGTCCCCATCCTGGGAGGCACCCACTGCCCAGCCCTCCTGAGTCCCATCCATGAGACCCCCTGACTGAACCCCCTCAGGGAGCATGTCCCCTCTCCAAGATTCCGTGGGGACCCATCCCTGTGGGACAAATCCCACTTCCCAAGTCTCCACCGTGCTGTGATACCGCTGGTGATCAGGAACTCCTGGAGGGTAAACAGTCCAGGGTGCCCCCCAGGGTGGGGCTGCCCCCACTGCTGCCCCCAAGCCGGCCCATCCTCCTTCCCCAGTGCCCCATCAGCTGCAGACTGGGAGGACTGGGATGCTGCTGGAGGCCATGGCTGGCTGCCACGGGCCCAGTGCCTTTGCCGGCAGATGGCCCTGTGACACCGCGACAACGCGGCCACGCTGGCCCCACTCACACCGGCTACACCGTGGGGGGGCCCCGCTCGGCCTCACAGCCCCACCTGCAGCCCCCCGAGCTGGGGGAGTACCCGACAGGGCCCCTGCAGTGCTGGACCCCCAGGTCAGCCCTTGGCACGGGCTGTGACAACCCCCATGGGGACACCCCAGGACTCACTTCAGCACAGCCACGCTCCTGGGGCACAGGGCCAAGTCCCCTGGGGTTTGGTGTCCTGCCAGCCCTCTCCTTCCCGCCACCTTTCCCGCCTTTCCCGCCTGGCCCACAGGCAGCTCCCGGCACTGCTGACCCCCCCCTCGCTGCCCCACTGCCAGGGGATAACACCCCACAGGTGACACCAGGACCCCAGAGCCTCCTGCAAGCAGCAGCACTCCCGTGCCTCAGTTTCCCCACCTGCACAATGGGTGACCACCACTGCATCCAGCACGTGCTGGAGGGCACATGGGCAGGGTCCCCACAGCCCCCTGAACTGTGGACTCCCGCCCTGAATCCCTCAGGGTGCCAAGATGGGGACACCAATCCCACCCACCTGCCCTCGCAGCCCATCTCAGCTCACACATCCCCAAACTTGCACGGGTACCCCCAGTCATGGGGCAGCAGCACAGGAATGGGACAAAGAGGTAGCAGAGCCCCCAGCCCTTCGGATACCGGCGTTTCCTGGGCCCAGTGCCAGGATCCAGCCAGGATCCACCCAGGCTTTGCCGCCAAATCCACCCAAGTCCCGCGCGGCGCGGGATGGGGCACTCGCTGCTGCCCAGCCCCGGCCAACAGCTCCGTTTATTTTTAGGCTCTTGCGACATGGCCTCACCCCTGGCTTCACCACAGCCACCCAAAACGCTGCCGAGGCACCAGCTGGGCCACAGGATCCCCCCACGCCCTGCCCTGCTCCCAGCTCTCCGTGCCCCAGCCGTGCCTCGAGTTCCCCTTTAGAGCAGCCAGGCAGAAAGGGACCTGGGGGTGCTGATCGACAGGAGGCTAAACATGAGCCAGCAGTGTGCCCAGGTGGCCAAGAAGGCCAATGGCATCCTGGCCTGCATCAAGAACAGTGTGGCCAGCAGGAACAGGGAAGTGATCCTTCCCCTGTACTCTGCGTTGGTGAGGCCACACCTTGAGTATTGTGTTCAGCTCTGGGCCCCTCAGTTCAGGAAGGACATTGAGCTGCTGGAGCGGGTCCAGAGAAGAGCAACGAGGCTGGTGAAGGGACTTGAGCACAAGTCCTATGAGGAGAGGCTGAAGGAGCTGGGGTTGTT